CGCGGAAGAACCCAAGATCTAACACGTTCATGTCAGGTGAGTTGGGCGGCTGGCAGACAACTTCGATTGCCCAGCCATCCGAGGCGCAGGCAGCAGCCACCCTCTCGTCGGACAGAGGCACATGCGGACGAGCGTTGTCTTGTTGGAGAAGGATGCGTGCGGCTTTGTCATTGGGCCACTTTGCTTTGATAGCAGGTATGACGTTGTCAATGAGCATGTCGCGGTACGTGTCACGTGTCACCGTACAAGGCACCGTCACCATGGTCCAACTTGGACGATTACGGCTGCTCCGTTGGGCTGGTACAGATTGCGTAAAGTGCCATGTCCCGATGCGACCGTCGAACCATTCATTCGTGTTGTAGTTCCAACGAGGCCGTGCGACAGCTGACAGGAACATCACTTTCGTGATGAACCGTTTCGACTTGGTGCTGCGATGTGGCGGCTCTTCTCCTGGCAGCAGGTACAACGTCTTCTTGACCCGAGTCATGTAGAACCACTTTTCATCCACGTGGACGTAGTCCATCATGTCATGCACCATCAAGTCCGGCCCAAGACGTTCGAACGCCCACTTAAGACGTGCTGCTTTGTTGGCCTCGGTCAGTTGTGGCTTGACGCTGCTCGAATGGCGGACCAAGAACCCACGCTTGAAGTAGTCTTGGAGTGTAGATTTAGGGACGTTGATAACATGAGCAATGGCCTGGATCGTGGTTCGATCTGTCTTTGGGATCTTTGCGATGCGTTCGGATAGGTCGCTGTACTTGAGCTTTCGACCAGCTCGACCCTTCTTGCGAGAGGCGACGTCTTGGCACAGGGTGTTCGATCCTGGGTTGTACGCAGCTCTCTTCCAAAGCCGTGCTACCGTTTGCCAGTTACAGGCAAACTGCGCCGCAACATTGCGAAAAGAGCCGTAGGGAAGCTTACCATCTCTCGCGACAAGAGTGAGGAGATGGTGGCAGACGTCTGTGCGCTGCTGCGGAGTGAAATTGGGTTTTGTAGCAACAGATTGTGGCATGACGTGAAATTGAACACTGGAAATGTTAATTTGACATGTGAAAATGGTTTACGCGAGATTACTCTGTCAATTTTTGTCTGTAATTTTGGCGGCAATCGATAGAGCCAATCAAGACGAAGATTTTGGTACTAATTTGAAGGAAAACGAAGCAGATTTGACGAAGTTATGCTGAAAATAAGATTCCAAGATAATTATTTTTGT